AAGATCATAAAAATAAAGATGGCTCAAAAACGGATGATAAACAACTTTCAACAGACATACTTTGTAACCAAAAATTATCCACTCCTGAAAAAATAAATCAAAATAAAGTATCGTCTATAAATATTGAAGTTGAACAATTCCCTATTAGAAGAAGAAAAACGGTAGTAGGAAAGGATAATAATAGTATTGATCTAAGCAATGTTAGAAAACATTCTTGTGTTACTTATTTGAGTTCACCAATTAACAATGAATTTAACAAGTCAACTGAGAACGTTGATAGAGAACCATCAAGCCCATCTCAACAAAAGAATAATCAATCAAAGTGCGATTTTGATACCCTTACGTGTGCAAATAATATAACAGAATCTAAACACTTAAATAATTCTTTTAAAAGTTCCTCAGAAAATATACCTGTTGAATTAAGTCCAACTAATAAAACTGTGATACCATCTATCAATATTGAAGTTGAACAAGGGTTCATTTTTAGACAATCTAATGCAAGAAAAGTAATAATGCGTTTAACTTCTGACGATAAACAAGAAACAAAGAAAGGGAGACATGTTCAGTTGATAACTATAAAAGATCATTATTCAAAACCAGTGCCTATTTTTAATGGTGCTAAAAAAACAGATATCGATGTTAGCACAAAATCTATTCTTACAGAAAAAGTAGTGGAAAGTAGTAGTCACTTTTATGTACCGCAAGTGAAAAGAAGAAGAACTATGAACTTTGGCAGTGCTGATTCTTAATTCTTTAATTTTTCATGTTTCTAACAACAACTATTTTAAATACTATACAACAATTAGTAATTATCTAATTCTCTATTATCTTATCTATATATACTTTATTAATTTTGTTAAATTTGTATGCATATTTCGCATAAATCATGATAACAAGGCTACTCAAGTATAAAAAAAGAAGTTTTGAACATAATTATTATTGTCTATATGAGTATTAAAAAAAAAAATTTCAAAGAAGTTGAATTGAACAAAAATAGTTAAGATTTTATTAATCATACAATATGTATTTTGTTTTTTTTTTCTAAATTAATCAACCAATTATTAAACTTTTTCTGCTTGACGTGCAAGAAGAATAAACTAAGGCTCCATTGTTGGATTTAGGAATAAGACGGAACATACAATGTAAATTTATTAAAAATGTAGTTAACTTAAATGCGACTTAACTTCAAATTTAAGGTACCTGAAATCCAGTGTTAATATCTCTATAAATATATAATTTTTTTTATGATCAAATAACCATTTAGTATTTATTGATTTGATTATTATTATTATTTGTAAATCATACTATCAAATTAGATGATTAATTTATTATTCCTATATAAAATATATTATTGTTGTGTTATCTGTTTTTAAGAAATGTCTAAAATATATCATCACCATCTTTTTTACTTTTTTTTGTTTTTTTGTTTTATTTTTTTCAAAAACAGGATAACAATTTTATAAGAAGCTTAAATAGCGTAAGCAATATATTTCAAGAGTGCACTATTTAGGTGTATGTGCTGACGCTCTGTGCTATGATAAAATCATGGAGTAATAATAAAATAGCATAATATTAGATATTAGTGAATAGTGATCTATGTTTGAAAAAAAGGAAAAATTGTTGATCTTATATGAGTTATAATCTAAAATAGTGGCATAACCAGGATTTTACTTTGGGGAAGGGGTCTGATAATGTGTTTAACTTTGATCTCCTATAACTCATAAAGTCATAAGTTTAGCATACTGATGCTGAGGCTTTTATTCTAGGTTGCAGTTTCTATACAGGTATACAAATTTGTAATTGCAAAAACTTTCATAGACCATAGGCATACATAGGTAGTTACTGAAAATAATAATGATACAAGGTGGCTATTTTTTCAAATATTCATTTTCAGATGTCTGCGTCAATAGATTAGTCTGTAATGTTGTCAATATGTGAGAGTTTAATAAACACCACAAATACTTCCAACTCCAACTTTAGATCACTTTCTCTTGGTTTATAACTTAATATAATACATTTGATACCATTTTAGTGGAGTGTAATAATATCAATTACAATACTACCAAAATAGCAACAATTATAATATGAATAATATGCACACATGACTAAATAATCTGTTTATTTATAACCAGGATCATTTTATAATATATATTATGAATTTATAGAGTAGATATTTAGATTCTTAAAAGTTTAAAATATGATTCTATTATGTTCTAAAAAAACTTTAATATATAACCTTAATTTTTAAACTTATGAAATATAATGCTTAAAATAATTAAAAATTTGTACATGGTACCTTAACCAGCTATACAATAAAAACATAATATGTAGATATACTATTTCCATCTCAGTATAATATGTTAATTGTCTAAGTTACACTTTGCCTATACGTGCCATCCATTAATTGCACATAATCTTATAATATGATTAAACTTGGACAATTTTTTTGGTAAATTATTATTTTCAAATTTTCAATCATAAGTAGGTATACTCATATTCAAAACAATTAAGACATTTACAATTATATAATTAATTACAGTTATTGAATGATTTCTTTAATTTTTAATTTTCAAATAGTAAATATATTTTTTCCTCTGATGAAATAATTACAGCTCTAAAAAAAAGCGGGTAAGTGGACGTCGCTCTACTGTACTTAGGTGTTTAGGAAGTCGCTGTAATGGATGGTATTATATTTGAACTCAATGATATCATATAATTGTACACGCGAAAAACGATTCTCAGCAGAGACGGTATGTCAGTCTAAGATATTTTATATTGTTATTAATTATTATTAATATGGTAGCCGGTAAGTTGAATTACCTAATTTTATTCTTAAATCATCAGTAATGCTGGAAAAATACCAGAATAGCTATGTAAAATTGGGCTGTTTTGAAACTGAATTACAACAAAATGATAAACGTCATTCTTTGTGTTAATAAATAATAATTAATATGCGATTTTGTATAAATTTAATAAAAATATAAGATATAAAATATCTGTAAAAAATAACTGTATTCATATATTTTTTAGATTTTTCAACTGCGATTGTAACAATACATCAAGAGTCTTGTATTAAATTTTTATGATTTTTGACTTGACCAATCAAATTTTAATGACAGAAAAAAAATAATAATTGAAAATATCCATCAACAGCTTAAAACGAGTCAAAATATTTTGAAAAATGTATCAAGTATATAGCTTGATAAAATATTCAAATGGTGTAAATTTCAATTTTCAAGTGTCTATAGTAATATGTTTTTGAATTACCATAAAATAATAACATCGCTACAAGAGAAATCGAGTGAATATCCAATGTTGCAAAAATTTCAACTACGAACGATCATTAAAATTGAATGTAACTTTCCGGTAGAATTTAATGTAGACAAACTTTTTAGAAATGTCGTATTACATTTTTAAATCTTAGGTATAAAAAATAAAAAGAAACATTTTTATGAAATTCTAACTAAATATAATTTTTCTTTTTTGGTGATTTTTACGAATTTAGCCAAAATTCTAAGTTTAATCGCTCATAAAATTTTTTTGTGGATTCACGCTCAACTTTTTTTTTTTAATTTGCACCAACAACTAACGAGGAACCTTGTATTACAGTTAAAAGTTTTTTGCAAGGTGAAACATTTTTTATCGACATTAGTTAAAAAAAAAACAAATAATAATTTTTTAGTGTACAGAAAATAATGCTAACACAAATATTTAGTGAAAATTGCATGGTTATACGGTCATTTTTTTTAGAGTTTCACTAAAAATCAAAATCGATTTTTTCGAAAACTGGTTTTGCTTGAAAATTCCCGTTTTTCCTAAATGTTTTGTTTTCCTGCTACTTTTGAAAACTATTATGAATTTTAAATGTTGGCCTCCCGAATGCACCAAGTAGATTCACTTTCTTACCAGAAAGTTGCTGTTGAAGAAAATCGGAGAACTTTTACTGCAAGAAACCGTGATGAAAGACATAAAACAAATAAATAAATAAATAATCAAAATCAATAATCACATACATTTGGAGGAATCGTGGAACCATTGACATTGTCCCACGGAACCCTAAGGTTATGCGAACACACTTTGGGAAACGTTGGGCTATATTACATGCTTGTGCATTACTACATAAGAACATTGCAGTCTTATAAGACACTTTTTAAAAGTAATCAAGTAGGTAGGTACGAGGTACCTACAGATATACATACTTATTTTGAAAAGTATTTGATCACAAATACAAATACTTAAAAAAAGTACTACCTATAGTAAACTTTCAATTTTTTCATAAACATTTTTTTTTACTCTTTCATAACTGAACCGATTTTCATGTTTGGTATTTATAGGAATGTTCATTTCATATAGGTGCGTTGCATTCATTTAACACCGCATAATTTGGAGGAACTTTAAAATGATGTATTTTTTTAAAAAGTAGGTATTTAGAGTACGTACCTATTTAAGGATTTAAACAAAATTTTAATACTTTAACTTTTTTAACTCAAATTTATACTTTTAGTTTTTACTCAAATACCTACTTTACGACCACGATTATAATATTTAACCTAATCTGTGGTTATTATAGCTTATAGGCATGGCTAAATAGCCTAAATAATAAATACATAATATTTAGCCATGGTTAAATGGTTTTATAGGTATATACATTATAATTTAACTTTTCTATCAAAGGTGTTAACGACAGTAGCAAGGTCATTTTTTTCACAAGGTAGTAGGTACCTAATACCTATTATAATAATAAGCTATTATGTCTTATCTCATGATAAATACGTAAGTGTGTTACAAGATAACGATAAGACCGGCTACATGCATGCCCATTGCTGAATAGTATTTTTTGAATGTTTTAATATTATTAATAATATTAATATTACTTTTTTTCCTATTAGTTATTGATTATTTTAGTCCGTGATCGAACGTTATCTCCAGTTAATTAATCAAACTGTTAACTGTTTCAGACATCTTGAATCTTCGAAGAACTTCTAAAGACTATAATTATATAAGTCTATAAAATAAAGGTAAAATATGAATACATTATTTTGTTTATTCTGTATAATATAGGTAGGCAACTGGTTTATGTAGTTATTACATCATATAAACTTATTCAGCACCACTATCGATTTTAAAATAAACTTTTATAGGTAAATTGTACACAAGAAGGTACTTGCATAAACTATAAACATAGCCACATAAGTTAGGTTAGCTTGTGTAGAATATTAGAGTAGAGAAAACTAATCTACAACAGCATTACATGATTAACTAATTATTAATTAACCTTTTTAGTGAACCTTATATTTCTAGGGGTAATATTAATAGCTTCAAATATACCTTTGCATAGGCATCATTACTCTAGCAATTGCTACCCCACCAATTTTATTATTTTATCTACCGACTACTTACAAGTTTCATTTGACCACATACAATTGAATCAAAGATATTATTCAAGATGCATGCTACCCTATGATTTTACTCCTAGTAACACACCTGTAGCTTTGGATCGAGCTTTGGATGGTAAAGTTACCTCCCAAAAAATGTGTCGAGTGTGTTGACTACTGACTAATACCTAAGTTGTGTTCAGCGTTTGCTATACATTTAAAAGTGATATATTCAGTACTATAAAATTGTATCCCAAAATTAAAAATTATTGGTCAACAACCATTGAAAAAAATAAGTCATAAATACGTGAAATAAAGTATATTATATTCTTATTTAAAGTATTTGGTCGACATACACATATTCTATACAATTTTTTTAAAAACTCAAGTTCGTATAACTATTAAAACTATAAAAAATCTTATCATCATATTATTATAATAAAAAATAATTAGCTTTATGTCACAAATACATAATTAAAGTTTGAAATAATTAATAAAGTAATTTTTTCTTTATTGAAAATTTAAAAGATAAAACACTTGTATACATTTTCATGAAGAATTTAACTAGATAACCTATTTCATAACAATGCAATTTATATTTTTTGTGCATACCAATAAAGTAAAGTAGGTAATTCAAAATAATTTTATTCTATAGAAGTTTACTTAATATATAATACCTACATTTTATTTATCATTTTAAGTCATTTAACATTACAATTAGACATATATTTTTCTCTATGAAACACAAATTGTTTTGTATAAAGTATTAGTTTTACAATCACCTTATATGTTTATTATTGAGTAATTAAACCTAACAACATACATTCACATAATTAATGTATTTCCAAAATACTAAATGTTTGTTTTTCTGTTTTTGCAGGTCTTGATAATATTTATCCTGTGACATAAAATGCCAGTTAACGAGAATGTAATTCTTCTTGATATTGAAGGAACAATTACATCTATTAGCTTTGTTAAAGATACATTATTTCCATATGTCACTAAAGTCTTAGAGGATTATATTGAAAAATACTGGGACGATGATAGTTTTCAACAAGATTTAGAACTATTACGTGCACAAGCAGTTATTGATTCCAATGTTGAAGGCTTTGTACCAATATCTACAGGTGACAATGCAAAGAAATCTGTCATCAACAATGTATTATGGCAGATGGCCAACGATAAGAAAACTACTGCTCTAAAGCAATTGCAGGGTCACATATGGAAAGATGGATATGAAAGTGGTCTTCTAAAAGGTCATTTATATGAAGATGTATTACCAGTTTTAAATAAGCTAACTGACTTAGGTAAAAAGATATACACCTACTCCTCTGGGAGTACACAAGCTCAAGAGTACTTATTTCAATATTCTATGTATGGAGACGTATCTAGTATATTTCTAAAATATTTTGACACTAAAATGGGTCCAAAAGGCTCAGAATCCAGTTATATAAATATTGCTAGTGAGATAAATGTGAATTGTAGTAATATTTTATTCTTAACTGATGTAGTAGTTGAAGCAGAAGCAGCTGTAAAGGCCGGTTGTAATTCAGTTCTTCTGGTAAGACCTGGTAATGCTCCTCTGGATCCTGAGAAAAGTTCAAAGTTTAGAAGTATAAAGACACTAGATGAATTATTATAAACCGAGTAACTTTTACACACAGAAAATACATTTTGGTAACCTTAAAATACTAAATACATATCATTATTCATTACAAATGTTACATTTATATTTTGTTAATTATTTTTAATATATAGATTAAAAATATATGTACATTGCATAAATTTTAAGTATAGTCTGTTTTATTACTGTATAATTGTTTTGTTTGAAAAGAGACATCATAGAGTAATATTATCCCTTTATAACAATTGGAAATGAAGACTAAACTTCAAATTTGAACTTTCAACAAGACATTTTTTTAATTTTCTGTATAATTACTACGAAAGTTACAAAAAAATACTGAGAATTGTTGTAGTAATAAGACATTTACTAAGCAAGTGACTTATTTTTTTTGAAAAAATGATAAAAATCTATTTTTTATTACTGTCAAATCAATAGAAAAACTTTGTCAAAAATTATTATTATTATTCAATATTCTGTGCATAATTGTGTTCAAAACTGTAAAAAATAGAAGTACAAGAAAAGATTTAATTCTAAATGTATGGATAGTAATAAGTGATAAGTGGTTAATTTTTTTTTCTTATGGGTAACCGGTTGCCAACAGAAATAAACAAACCTGTGGTGATGATGTGAATATTAGTTGTTATGTCAACCTAAAATAATGGGTTTAATCCATTATCTAAACATTTGAAACCCTCCTTAAATCGTCAAAACCTTATAATTTCTTTTAAATTGCATAAACCTAAGTCATTTTAATCATATTATTGTATTTATTGTTTTGTCGTTGGTAGTTAAATCTTAAGACAGGGGTCGGAAATAGGCAGCCCTTAGAGCAGAAATAACTAGATCGCCAAAAATAATTCAATAATTGTGGTTTTACGTACATTTTAGAATGCTGCATGTTTTTTAGTTTTTAAATTTTTTGTCCGACCTTGGTGAAGAATTTGGTAAGCGATTCAAAGGCTTTGTAGAAATTGGAAAACTGTTACAATTTTTAAAATCCTTATTGCTAACCTAACCTATTGCTCCAGCCGGAGAATGAATCGACGTAGCTACGAAATTGTTCAGACTTACAAAATCTTCACTTCGAGCGGAAATTATTGATTTGCAAGAAGATATTTCATTGAAAATGTACAAAACTATGTTTACTGAAGATTTTTGGCAAAGCATGTTTTGGATAAGTACATGAACTGTTAAACTCTGGCCGTAAAATTAGCTACCATGTTCGGCTCCACATACATATGTGAAACTTCATTCTCCAAAATGACGTTTTAAAAAAATAAATTTCGTTCAAGATTAACCGATCTCTATCTTGAAAACACCCTGCGCATTAGGTAGTTGTTCTCCAAGAGTAAGAAATTTAAAAAGACTGGCTGAAGACAAGAAATGTAATTTTTCTGATTAAACTTTTAAGAATAAAATTGTTACTATTACTATGAATTCATAATTACCTTATAAATAATTAAATATTAAATAATTTGTCTTAAAGTGTGATTTTAATACAAAAATAAATACATTAATTATAGTTATAAAGTTTATTATGTTTAAATTTTTTTTGGCCCTCAAACATTTATTTTCAATTTATCTGAACCACCATAGAAATTAATTGCCGACCCCTGCTTTAAGTCATATGTTAAAAATTAGTGAAACAATTAATCACATATTCATACATTTCTGCTGGCGATAAAATTGCTGAAGACACGAAACTATACAACGTATTTTTAAACAAATTGTTTTGAACTATTCTACAAGACGACAAACCTATTGCTTCCAACACAAACCAATCCAAAATATTATTTTTTTTAAAATTATTATTAGAATATTCATTGTATTTCATTTATTTAATTGACTACATTTATGAATATGTTTTAATATCAAACAACTAATTACCGTAAAATAACTTATTTAAAAAAGTATTTAATCGGAAATTACCACATGATGGATAAAAATATAATGCCAAAATATCAAAATTATATCCAATTAACCAATCATAATAACAGGTATATTATAAGTAAACAGTGGCAACCATTTATAAAGAAAAAATATTAATTTCCAATATGTGGTATTAGCTAGCTATTTCCCTCGGCATTGACCGTCCCAAAGAATTGCTTTTTTTATAAATATATTTGTAAAAAAATGTATTCCATATTCATATATCTACTAAATACTAATAATACTATGATAGTATAATATGATATGTATTTAACCAAATTATGGCAAAACTATTAACAAACAAAACAACGCTTTTATGAGCTTCTTTTTAGCTTCCTAAATCTTAGGTAGGTACCTATAAGAATATGATGATATGGATGTATTGTTATAATATAGAGTGGCAAAAGAAGTACACTACTAAATTATCACGGTAGGTATAGGTACCTGTAATAGGTATTATAATATTACTATAAACAGTAATTAAAGAATTCAACTATATACTTGGTGTTTGTTACATACAAATATGTTAATAATGATTAGCGTTATAACTTGTATAAGTATTATTTTAATCATTTGATGTTACCAATAATTTTAAAAATCAGAGAAGTCACTTTAGTACCTGACTGCAGTATAATGAGTAGCTTTCGAGGGTGTCTTGTCATTAATTATTTCAATGGAATGCTAACAACAAAAATTTGGTTCTGTTGAGTACCTACACATATTTTGTGTTTATGAGTTGGAGAAAATATATATGAGGGTTTGACGTCCTTCTCTCAACTTTGATAGGTATTCGGCCGGTAAACAGTTTGGATTTTTTTTAATGTAAACGATTATGCTACCTATGTACATTATTAGATACCACGCTTAAATGCAATCGTTAATAGTAAAAGTAAAACCAATCATAGAAGTTTTACTTAATATCAGCCAATCGAAGTCTATCTTCATACATTTTTCCAGAACCTCGTAGAGTCGTAGCAAACATCATAGACTTGTATAACTTCTCCAATAACTCTAAAAATGGTTGTCATTTTTTTAATATGCATTCAAGAAAAACCCCTCATACACTCATCTAGTCGCATGCTGTTTCTTTTGATATAGGTACCTGCAGTCACAATAAAGTAAATTTCATCATTATTGTGAATTAGTAAATTCCCAGAGGCCAGAGTATATAAGAATAAGAAAATGTGATAATATTTACAGCGCGAGTCACGTATTAAAGTATCGTTCAAATGTCGTTTGAGTTTTGTGAGCAACTGACTTTGTCGCAAAACATGATAATAATAATGTGTTCAAAAAGAACAGAATTTTCAAATTTAATATTTGAGATAATTATAACATAATGTTGACATGAGTTTCAGTTGCACTATCTGCTAGAGTTAAAAATAAATAATAATTAGCAAATTCAGCAACTGTCCAGCACTGCTATATTGATAATATTGTCATAGCTATAATCTATATACGCCAATATACACCCGGTTTTTACATTAATATGTGTACAACGGTGTTTAAAATATTTGGTTAGGCATATCTTATTTACTGCTAGTCTATACCGATTTTACAAATCAAAAAAAATACGGAGCTCAATTTGACTGTACTATTTTTATTTTTTACCATACCTAGGTGCCTGTTAACTGTGGAAGCAGTTTTCCGGCAATTTCGTGGTAGACCGTCCCTCACCTGGTAGAACACAAACAAAATAATAAAGCAGACAATTAGGTACTTTTTGTTAAAAAATTTAAAAAAAATTCAAACAGCGAGAGGAATATGACACCCAAATTCCATCACGATTACGCCACTTATAAGCCAGATTCACATTACAACCATTGTGTCGTGTCGAGTTCCGTATGTTCAATTATACGTCCTGCAATATAAATATGATAGGTAAAACGTTACGTAATTAATTATAAATACTAGCAGGTATTTATAATCAATGGTTATTGGTTATATACTTATACATATTATATGTTGAATATATTCAAATTTCAAATATATGAATGGAATGGTATGCTAAGTGTAGCCGTGTAGGACGTTGGTACCTACTGTGAAAATGTAAACGCCAAACGGTTATGTGGTGACCTGATAAAAATTTTGTTTAGAGGTGCTAGTATTTTACTTTACTTTTACTAGCTACCGGTGAAGTAGTTAGCTCCCTTACCACTAAATATTATATTACCATGCATATAGGCATTAAAAAAATTAACAAGAAAGCCTAACAATTATATACATATAAATCATATAATAGTTTAATTTTGTAAGTAGCTTAATATAATATATTATTTATCTTTGGATAAAATATATATTATCTATTACTCTTTCGATATCAATATGTTAATAATTTCCATGTAGGTATGTATAGTATAGATGAAACTATGAAAGTATGAAACGTAAGAATTGACTTATAAGTATTTACAATGGTATAAATTAACGGCTCGTATATACTCTAGGTCTAGATGACTGAACCATAATTTATTACATTAAAATAGGTATAGGTATTTTAGGTATTTTAGTTTTAATATTTATTTGAACCTTATAGACTAGTATTAATTTTAGTTGTGTTTTTTAAAATTAATATTGAGCTTAAGCATCGACAACTATGGCCGTTGAGAAGGGGTATAGGGGTATAGTAAGTTCCTACACGAGAGTAACAAGTAAACAATTACATACGTTAGTTCCTACACGGACATAATATGTTAGTTCCTACACGATGGAAGAAGGTACTTATGTAAGTTCCTACACGGTAAAAACCAGGTACGTATGTTAGTTCCTACACCACGGAAAGGGTTAAATATGTATATATTATACACAAGTCAATACATATATTAAAATAAGAACCACAATTAGTAACGAAAAACCAAAAATCTGTTAAAAATACGCCGAAAAAGTAGATTTAAAATAAACAAATTTCAGATTATACAACGAACAAAATTAAGCAATACGAATATGTTAAGATTTTAAGTTATAGAAATAAACCTCATAAGATATAAAATTTCGTATTTTATGTATTTTATGTATTTTATGTATTTTTAATTTTTATTATATTTTTTAATCACCATATTATACAATATTTATTTGTGAAGATGCACTATGACGATTTTTATTATATTTGTTAATCATCATAATATATTTGTTTTTTTAAATTCGTATAATTCGTATTTAATTGTGTATAATATATATATTTAACCCTTTCCGCAGTAACTAACATACATACCTGGTTTTTACCGTGTAGGAACTTACATACGTACCTTTTTCCGCCGTGTAGGAACTTACATTTGTACCTTTTTCAGTCGTGTAGGAACTAACGTATGTATTTTGTGTACCTGCTACTCTCGTGTAGGAACTTACATTCGCCCCTAAACCCCGGGTAGTCACCCGGGCAAATGTAAACTGGGCCCGAAGTTACCTTTTTTGTTGTAAACTCGGCCCGAGAATTTTAGGTAATAAAAATAGGTAGATTGTAAACTCGGCCCGAAAACATACATTGGAGAAGATTCTATGTTTCCGCCTGAAATGTGGGCCAGTGCATCAGTTGAAACGTATTTAACAACAAATGCATGTGAATCATTTCATGCGCATTTTAATTCAAGTTTTAATTCCACTCACCCCAATATTATAAGAAAAATCATGGTTTTTACACCTAAATTATTTTTACCTGAAAAAAATCGGGGCCGAGTTTACATCTAAATAATTTTGACCTGAAAAAAA